AGAATTAGAGGTAAGACAGAATGTAGGATTGCGGATGAGCAGGGAGGCTTCAGAGTGGGTAGGGGATGTGTAGATCAAGTGTTTACATTGAAGCATATATGTGAACAGTATTTAGATAAAGGTAGGGAAGTTTTTATTGCATTTATGGATTTAGAAAAGGCTTATGATAGAGTGAACAAAGGAGCGATGTGGCAGATGTTGCAAGTATATGGAATAGGTGGTAAGTTACTAACTGCTGTAAAGAGTTTTTATGAGGATAGTGAGGCTCAGGTTAGGGTGTGTAGAAGAGAGGGAGAATACTTCCTGGTAAAAGTAGGTCTTAGACAGGGATGTGTAATGTCACCATGGTTGTTTAATATATTTATAGATGGGGTTGTAAAAGAAGTAAATGCTAGGGTGTTCAGGAGAGGGGTGGGATTAAATTATGGGGAATTAAATTCAAAATGGGAATTGACACAGTTACTTTTTGCTGATGATACTGTGCTTATGGGAGATTCTAAAGAAAAATTGCAAAGGTTAGTGGATGAGTTTGAGAATGTGTGTAAAGGTAGAAAGTTGAAAGTGAACATAGAAAAGAGTAAGGTGATGAGGGTATCAAATGATTTAGATAAAGAAAAATTGGATATCAAATTGGGGAGGAGGAGTTTGGAAGAAGTGAATGTTTTCAGATACTTGGGAGTTGACGTGTCGGCGGATGGATTTATGAAGGGTGAGGTTAATCATAGAATTGATGAGGAAAAAAGGTGAGTGGTGCGTTGAGGTATATGTGGAGTCAAAAAAAGTTATCTATGGAGGCAAAGAAGGGAATGTATGAAAGTATAGTAGTACCAACACTCTTATATGGATGTGAAGCTTGGGTGGTAAATGCAACAGCGAGGAGACGGTTGGAGGCAGTGGAGATGTCCTGTCTAAGGGCAATGTGTGGTGTAAATATTATGCAGAAAATTCGGAGTGTGGAAATTAGGAGAAGGTGTGGAGTTAATAAAAGCATTAGTCAGAGGGCAGAAGAGGGGTTGTTGAGGTGGTATGGTCATTTAGAGAGAATGGATCAAAGTAGAATGACATGGAAAGCATATAAATCTATAGGGGAAGGAAGGAGGGGTAGGGGTCGTCCTCAAAAGGGTTGGAAAGAGGGGGTAAAGGAGGTTTTGTGGGCTAGGGGCTTGGACTTCCAGCAAGCTTGCATGAGCGTGTTAGATAGGAGTGAATGGAGGCGAATGTTACTTGGGACCTGACGATCTGTTGGAGTGTGAGCAGGGTAATATTTAGTGAAGGGATTCAGGGAAACCAGTTATGTTCATATAGTCGGACTTGAATCCTGGAAATGGGAAGTACAGTGCCTGCACTTTAAAGGAGGGGTTTGGGATATTGGCAGTTTGGAGGGATATGTTGTGTATCTTCATACGTATATGCTTCTAAGCTGTTGTATTCTGAGCACCTCTGCAAAAGCAGTGATAATGTGCGAGTGTGGTGAAAGTGTTGAATGATGATGAAAGTATTTTCTTTTTGGGGATTTTCTTTCTTTTTTGGGTCAACCTGCCTCGGTGGGAGACGGCCGACTTGTTGAAAAAAAAAAAAATATATATATATATATATATATACAGTGGACCCCCGCATAATGATTACCTCCGAATGCGACCAGTTATGTCAGTGTATTTATGTAAGTGCGTTTGTACGTGTATGTTTGGGGGTCTGAAATGGACTAATCTACTTCACAATATTCCTTATGGGAAAAAATTCGGTCAGTACTGGCACCTGAACATACTACTGGAATGAAAAAAGTTCGTTAACCGGGGGTCCACTGTATATATTATATATATATATATATATATATTATTTTATATATTATATATATATATATATATATATTATATTAATATATATTATATACATATACATATACACATATACAGTGGACCCTCGCCTAACGATATTAATCCGTTCCTGAGAGCTCAACGTTAGGCGAAATTATCGTTAGCCGAATTAATTTTCCCCATAAGAAATAATGAAAAAAAAAATTACCACATGAAATATTAATTTTAATACACACAAACTGAAGAAGACATGCACAGTTACATGACACTTACCTTTATTGAAGATCTGTTGATGATTGATGGGATGGGAGGAGGGGAGAGTGTGGATGGTGTTAGTGTTTAGAAGGGGAATCCCCTTCCATTAGGACTTGAGGTGTCAAGCCCTTTTCCGGGGTTACTTCCCTTTTTCTTTTAATGCCACTAGGACCAGCTTTAGAGTCACTGGACCTCTGTCACACAACACATCTGTCCATAGAGGCCTGTACCTCCCGTTCCTTTATGACATTCCTAAAGTGTTTCACAACATTGTCAGTGTAATAGTCACCAGCATGGCTTGCAATAGCTGTGTTAGGGTGATTTTCATCAAATAAGGTTTGCACTTTAAGCCACATTGCACACATTTCCTTAATCTTTGAAGTAGGCAACTTCCTCAATTACTCTATCCCCTCCTCCGGAGCAGTTTCCTCAGGTCTGGTCTCTTGCTGTTGAAGAAGATCTAGCAGCTCATCAGTGGTTAGTTTGTCATTGTCCTCCTCCACCAACTCTTCCACATCCTCCCCACTAACCTCCAACCCCAAGGACTTCCCCAATGCCACAATGGATTCCTCAACTGGCATAGGATTTCCAGGGTTAGCCTCAAACCCTTCAAAATCCCTTTTGTCTACACATTCTGGCCACAGTTTCTTCCAAGCAGAGTTCAAGGTCCTCTTAGTCACTTCCTCCCAAGCCTTACCTATAATGTTTACACAATTGAGGATGCTAAAGTGATCTCTTCAAAACTCTCTTAGAGTCAATTGAGTTTCTGAGGTCACTACAAAGCACCTTTCAAACATAGCTTTTGTGTAGAGTTTTTTGAAGTTTGCATTGACCTGCTGGTCCATGGGCTGCAGGAGAGGAGTGGTATTAGGAGGCAAAAACTTGACCATAATGAAGCTCATTTCTGCAGAAAGTCGCTCTGCCACGTCTGAAGGATGACCAGGAGCATTATCTAATACCAGGAGGCACTTAAGGTCCAATTTATTTTCCAGGAGGTAATTTTTCACAGTGGGGGTAAATGCATGGTGTAACCAGTCATAGAAAAAGTCCCTAGTGACCCATGCCTTACTGTTTGCCCTCCACAGCACACACAAATTAGCCTTGAGGACATTGTTTTTCCTGAACACTCTGGGAGTTTCAGAGTGATACACCAATAAAGGCTTCACTTTGCAATCACCACTAGCATTAGCACACATCATCAGAGTAAGCCTGTCTTTCATAGGCTTATGTCCTGGGAGTGCCTTTTCCTCCTGAGTAATATAGGTCCTGCTTGGCATTTTCTTCCAAAACAGGCCTGTTTTGTCACAATTAAGCACTTGTTCAGGTTTCAGTCCTTCACTGTCTATGTACTCCTTGAATTCCTTCACATATTTTTCAGCCGCTTTGTGGTCCGAACTGGCAGCCTCACCATGTCTTATTACAATATGTATACCACTACAATTCTTAAATCTCTCAAACCAACCTTTGCTGGCCTTAAATTCACTCACATCACCACTAGTTGCAGGCATTTTTCTAATTAAATTCTCATGCAACTTCCTAGCCTTTTCACATATGATTGCTTGAGAGACGCTATCTCCTGCTATCTGTTTTTTGTTTATCCACACCAATAACAGTCTCTCAACATCTTCTATCACTTGCAATCTCTGTTTCAAAAACAAAGTTGCACCTTTGGCAAGAACAGCTTCCTTGATTGCTGTTTTCTTGGCCACAGTAGAAGTGATGGTTGATTGGGGTTTTGTGTACAACCTGGCCAGCTCGTAGACACACACTCCACTTTCATACTTAGCAGTGATCTCTTTCTTCATATCCATAGTAATTCTCACCCTTTTTCCTGTAAGGTTGGCACTAGAAGTTTTCTTGGGGCCCATGGTGACATATTTTGCAGGTGTAATCACTAAAAAGACTGTGGTAATATGAAATGTTCCGATTGTATGCTTGGAAGCGACTGCGGTAGCTGGCTTGTAAACACTGGCACCCACGGAACAAGTGAGGCGGGCTCATGCCGCACGTGGATGTGTCTCGAACGAATTGCGTTGAGCGAGTTTTTTAGCACTAGCCGAGGCAAAATTTTTGCGTTAAAATGTATTGCTAGGCGGATTTAACGTTATGCGATGCATTCGCTAGGCGAGGGTCCACTGTATATATATTATATATATACCCCTCTGGGTTTTCTTCTGTTTTCTTTCTAGTTCTTATTCTTGTTTTTTCCTCTTATCTCCATGGGGAAGTGGAACAGAATTCTTCCTCCGTAAGCCATGCGTGTTGTAAGAGGCGATTAAAATGCCAGGAGTAAGGGGCTAGTAACCCCTTCTCCTGTATAAATTACTGAAATTAAAAGAGAAACTTTCATTTTTCTTTTTGGGCCACCCTGCCTCGGTGGGATATGGCCGGTTTGTTGAAAGAAGAAGTAGGAGGTTGGTAGACAGCAACCACCCAGGGGGGTACTACCATCCTACCAGGTGAATGTAAAACGGAAGCCTGTAATAGTGGTACATGATAATAGGATTGCTGGTGTCTTTTTTCTGTCTCATAAACAAGAAAGATTTCAGGTATGCCTTGCTACTTCTACTTGCACTTAGGTCACACTACACATGCATGTACAAGCATGTATATACACACACAACCCTCTGGGTTTTCTTCTATTTTCTTACTAGTTCTTGTTATTGTTTATTTCCGAGACATTGCCACATACACCTATATTTTTGACCCAAGTGCCTCAGAATGTTTCAAACCTCAAAACAAAATTATTTAAATTTTATATTTTTTTATACATCTTATTTTTAAATGATCATGGAATAAATTTCCATAACCCCTTCGAGGACAGACATTTTAATAACATGTTCTATAAATTATGTACTATTTTCTTTATCCAGTATAATGTCTGAAGATTTTAATTTGGTGTACATTTAATACTGTATGTTGTCTTGGCAGGTGTTTGTGTGGTGGGTATGGCTAGCGCTGGTGCACTCCGTCTTGGTATTTGTTCTACCCTACCTCTCCATGACTCAAGACGTTGCCTGGGGTCATGGTCGTGTAGGAGGTTACCTCATGACGGGAAATATGGTGTATACTTATGTAGTCATTACCGTCTGCCTTAAAGCAGGTCTGGAGACCGATGCCTGGACTTGGGTCACACACCTTGCCATCTGGGGCTCAATTGCTTCTTGGTTCATTTTTCTGCTGGTGTATTCAAATTTTTGGCCCATATTGCCCATGGCTCCTGATATGTGTGGCATTTATCTGCAGGTATGAACATCATAAGGTTCTTTAATGTCCACACACACATCATTATATATCTAAATAATAGTTTAAGTTTCTGCATACTGGGGAATATCAAGTAGTTTCTGAGGAATAGCTTACTCATTTCTCAAGTAAATATAGTCATTAGAAAGTTTTAAAGTTATAAATGCTCAGAGCAAAACATAGAACTGCAAATGTTTTATGAAGTACAGTTGCTGTATGAGCCAGTAGGCCTTCTGCAGTGTTCTTCCACTCTTATGTTCTTAATTAGGGGCAAGATTAATAACCTGATAGTAATTAAAAAAAATTGTTCTAGTGATTTAGATAGAATTATATAATTGAACTGTTTCAGCACACACTATTTGTTTTAGTTTTTTTCATTTGAATTCATGTTAAGAAATTTAATTCATACGATAAATTTCTGCAGATTTTTGGGCCCTTTAATTTATAATGAATTTCTGTAGATGTTCAAACAAACACGAGAGATATGAAAGCGATGTTTGTTTCTGGTGTAATGCCTGTGTGATCAGTTTTAATTTTCCAGGAAATGTCTTAGGTAGCATCAGCATTTACAGTGCAATGTTCTAAAGATGTAAAGCTAACAATTTTATATATGAATGGCATGTATATTCATTAGTTCAGAGACTTGAATAAGGAAATAGTATGTTGCCAGTAAGTAGAGTTTGTGATAGTGCTGAGAGCTGCATTTTGTTGAGTTTGAGTTGGAATTTGAGGTGGGTTGCTGAAGCACATTCCCAGTCACAAATCCCACATGTGAGATATGGGTAAATAAAGTAAAAGTAAAGTATTAGTGGTATAAACTGCACAAGTCCCATACATGAGGTATGGGTAAATGAAATAAAAGTAAAGTATTAGAATATAATAGTGAGTTTTGGAAAGTATCCCTAAAGTCTTTAACCCTTGGACTATCGCAACCCCAAATCCTGAGGTGTCTCCTGGTGTCGCAAAATATTTAAAAAAAAAATTATTTTTTCTTATGAAATGATAGAGAATCTTTTCCCGATGGTAATGACACCAAAAGTACGAAATTTATTGGAAAAATTAAGGAATTACGCTCTCGCGAAGTTAGCAACCTCGGTGATATTTACGAATCGGCGATTTCACCCACTTTGAGCCCTATTTTCAGCTAATTTCATTGTTCCAGTCAACCAAGCTCATAGCTATTTCTTTACAACTCCATTTTTTTCTATCAATTGAGTACAAGAAACTGCCCATTTACCAATTTGCACTACCCAATAAAGTGGTCAGAAATTGCCAATTTGGCCAATTTCATGCAAATTGAAGTGTGCCAATTTCAAAATAGGTCCAGAATGAGCAATGCAGATATTCCTAGCTCTAAAATAACATTTTCTTTGTTCATCAGTCACGTCTCCAAGCCCCTGTGATATTACTCTTGCTTTCTATTTTGAATTTTTTATTCAAACAAAAAATAGAAGATTTACTGTTATGCAGACTACTGTAATATTGTAATAATTGTATAAATAATGTCAACCCATTCATGACTGCATATTAGAATGGCTAGTTGGACATTTATTGGACAATGACATCATTTGCTTACTCTTGAACATCGGCAAAAATCAAACATTTCCCCTACTTTGAGCTCCATTTCAAGGTTCTTTTCATAGTAAAACCAATCAAAAATCACCTTTATTTCTATAATATGTTTTCCATTCTATCAAATGTGGCTACGAAAACGAGAATATAACCATAAAAATTATACGAAAATACACCTTGAAGTCAGCGTTTTAATCCAAAAACATGGTCTGAGATTTTTTTCTCTCATTGTGCACAGACCTATTCTCTCACATGGGTCCAGCTTTCTCCTGCTTGATTTGAAGCCACTAGAATTTTTGAGTACATATATGTCAAACACATTGGCTCGTAAGTTGTATATATACGACTGAAACAGTCAAAGGGTTAATAGTTTTATTGATATGTCTGGATATGAGCACTAAATTTCATTTGTTGTCTGTGATTAGACTTAGGAGCCTTCCCTAATTGAGGATGAGCTTTGTTCCAAAAATTTATGTAGTGTGCTTTTACCTATTAAGGGTGAGTTTATTGCTAATTATGTAGATGTAGATATTTATTAATTCATTAAATATGGTGCATATTATCAAGGGTTCTGAGTGTGATAATATAAAGGTTGTGCCATTAACAAAAACAACAGATTTTAGATGTTGGTTGGTATTAGGTAGGATGTAGAATGAGACAGAGAAGAAGGCCCATAATACTTTCTTGGAGAGACATCGTAATTGATTGGTAGTGTGCTAGAAGTGTTACGAAGGCTACATACTCATGTCTGTTACTGAGGTATGACTAAAAATACTTTTGTTTGCCCACTGAGTCTGCAGTGATGTAATCTTGTAAAAGACTATTGTTGTGAACAGTATCAGAAACTTTTTGCAGATTATTAAAAAGTTTCATAGGATACTTGTTTCATTCAAGTGTTCAATAAACTGCTTCAAGTATCTTGAAGATTGTGTCGTTTGTGCTTTTTTGATCTAAATCCAAATAAACAAGGAGTAAGCATATTGAAGATTGAGACACTTGTGCAACATATGGGAATCTTTATTGAAGAAATGTTTCGCCACACAGTAGCTTCATGTCCAGTACAAATTAGAAAGGTTTAAGGAGAGGAGGAGTTTGAGGTAATCAGTCCCTCAGCCTGGAGTCGGTGTGTTCAGTCCATCAATCTTGTAGAAAGTACAGCATAGGGCTGTAGAAGTGGCTTATATACTGTAGTCAGGTGAGGCAAAGCAGGAGGAAGCAGGGTCATAGTGGTACCATCCACTAGTCGAAGTAGGTCTTCATCCAAAGGTTGGACAAGTGTTGAAGAATTCTTTGTATCAAGATCCCATGACAGTAAGCATATTGTTCTTGGTTAAGTATGCATACTGGTGCTTCTGGATTACTGTATTGAATATTGTTTTTATAATATTGGTACATTGTAAATTGTTCTGTAGTTATTAACATCAGTTGGATCAGCACCTTTGTGATGGGTGTTAACCCAGCCCTTTTGAAAATGTCTGGAAAGGTTTGCTGTTTAAGTGATTTGTTGAAAAGCATTACAATTGCCAAAGGTAATATTTTTTTTTTTTTTTTTTTAGATATATATAAGATGTCTTGGTTGTATTACTTCCATGTTTGTAATTGGTTTTATTACATTGAAGATGTAATAAGATCACTGATGTTAATCTGACCCTCTGTGTCACTAAGTTACACTGCAGTACATGTAACCAGCATAATGCTTGAATGTTGCACCACTGAGAAAATGCTTTAATATGTTTAGTGTTTAAAATATGCATCAGATACTGTATACAGCAAATGCTTTTTGTAAAAGTGTTATTCATATATATTTATAATCATTTCAGGTATATTCCTCACCAGTGTTTTGGTTTGGAGTGATCCTGATACCACTGTCTTGCCTGCTGCCAGATATTGTAGTAAAAACGTGAGTTTTTCAGCTTGGAATTATACTGATAAAATACTGCTCTGCAGGTTTATGTATTGTGGAATAATTAGTGAAGGGGTTATAGCAGTACAATGGAGTGCTCAGATAATGGGACACCATGTGTGTCACTACTTAAACTTCTCTATATTGGGGTTATTGTGCTGAATATTCCTTATAACATTAATTTCAGCATGTAATAGAGATTTTCAAGCTAAATATAGATATAATGATATGAAATTAATGCTCAGTGTAATTTTGCTTGAGATTACAAGTACCCTGTAGTTAATATAATTATTGGTATAACTTGTATTTAAAAAAGTGGATGATTACTGACTTAGATCTTACATTTCAGTGTACATAACTCAGTGTGTAAGAGTTTAACAGAACAAGTGCGTGAGAGTGAGATTAGCAACAAGGATGTTTCCAAAGTTCTAGACACCAAGCACAGGTAAGCGAAGATGGCTCATCGTCACCCTCTCCTCTCCTCCGTCCCCCTGGTCCTCCGCCCTCCCAGCCCCAAAACGTCTTGCCTCGTCACCTGCAAATATGACACAGGTCCATCCTGCTTGCCTCACCGCTCCAACTTACTGAGGATGTAGGATTCATGTGGCCATTTAGCCCACTCAGTCTCCCTGCTCAAATGATCCACGTGAGCCTACCCACCCAGCCCTCCCAGTCCACAGAATGCCTGTCCTTACTCCTGAGCTGCCCTGGTCGGTCTTGCCTATTAATCAGGCCTGTCCACTCAGCATGCCTGGCCTGCAGCCTCTCCTTGTTAATGGATAACTGTAGTACAGCAACCAGTTGATCTTCTCTATTCTTAATGAAATGTTAATGGTTGCTATTTTTTGTTTACTTTTAATATTTAAATTAGGGCTGATGCACTTAGATTAACAGTAAACAGCATCTTCTCTTAGTGTAATGATATCCCATGTAGGTAAATTTGTATTTGCCAGATTGAGCTGTGAGGCATTTGTGTGGGATGAGAGTACATTTGCCAGTTGCTTTTTTTCTTGTACTTAGTTGGCTCATCAAACATTTACAGTTAAATCACTTGTGCCAAAAATGAGGACCAGTATTTGCATCCATGACTCAGCTCTGCACCAGAAGCTTTTTGTAATGGAATATTTATGTACTTAAAGCAGAGTTGGGACACAGCTTTGATATAGAACACATTTTCTAAGTTTATAATGGGACTGGCAAACTTTACCACTCTGCACTCTTGCATCCGTATTCCTGATAAGCTTGGCTATGGGTGTTTGTGTTTATGGTTGCTGAATTAATGTAATTTTAAAGCACCACAAAACTTTTTAATGTCTTTTAATTATTGTTGTCATCAATGGATAAATGTATTGTGTAGATTATTGGATCTGATGTAATGTAGCATGATTATCTAGTCAGCATATTCTTAAGCTCTGTATTGTTAGTATTGACTCTGTTGTATTCTCTTGACACATTTTGGTTAGTATTTATTGTACAGTATTATCACAATTTTGGTTAGTACTGTATAATACAGTATTATCACAGTTTTGGTTAGTACTGTATAATACAGTATTAGTTTAGTACATAGTAAGCTATTTAAGTGATATGCTGCATAAAGGAATATATCCATTCATTTGATTAATTTCATCTTGTAGTTACAAGTTAGTCATTATAGTATATATTTTTAATTAACTGAATGAATATATTTATTAACTTTTTAATATGTATTACAGTAGTAATTCTTAAAAGCTTAGAAGCATGAATTGCTTCAGCATATTTTTTAAATTTTTTGAATACCTCATAAAAGTATTTTGTGTCCATAGACTTGGGTAAAAGTCATTTTTATAATTCCCAAATGTTTGTATATAGGTGATGTTTGTTAAGAGGAATTTTATTGCCTTTATCTCAGTATTAATTCTATCATGGTTCTGTTGACAAGCACTTGTAAATGTTGATGTGTGTAGTTGATTGTTGTGTAATATTGCTGAAGCACAGACCAACCTCTCTCAACGTCATCATTTTCCTCTGTCTTCTTACTTTGTGTGTTTATACACTAATTTTTTGTACACTATGTGTACAATATTTACTGACTCAATGCTAAAATCTAATGTACCAAAGATGATCATTTCTGATGTGCAATAGTTAGCAATTTGCTATACATTTAGTGATATGCAGGCCAGCATATCACTGCAAGTTACATTTTCTAAACAGCAGGAAATACAGCACAGTATACCACTACAGGAAAGCACATTTGTTACTTTGGTTATTACTTGAAAGTAACTTTGAATGACATGTATCTAGTAAAGTGTATTTTCCACTAATGACTGTGGTTTGTCAATGGTCAGAGCATGCGAGTTACTGCAAGATTACCACTTGCTGGAAAGTTAATGCAAGATTACACAGAATGGGTTATAAGGCTTTACACTGTTTGCTTTACATCTGTACCTTAATTGGCCCTTGTGATGGAGGTACGAATATTATCGAGTGATCAAAACAGTCTCACCCAATGCACAATATTAGCAGCTTATTGCAAATGTTTGTATACTTTCATGTGAGGCATTGCTAATATTAAGACTGAACTCAACACCTGGTTTAGGGTAGACATTGCTCTAAAACACAATTGAATTCTGGAGGTGGGAAGGGCAGTGCCTTCACTTGGAAGGAGCAGCGGGGATACTTTAGTTAGAGGCTAATTTGATTGCAATACCAGCACACTTCTGGAAAGATGGCAGTTGAATGAGTGATGGTGAATGTGTTTTCTGTTTTCGGTCCCCCTGTCTTGGCAGGAGATGGCTGTTGAGTTAAAAAAAAATACTACATTGTTCAAGGCATTCTTTACTTCAATTATGATGTTGAAATAACACTTACTATCTGGAATGCCTTGTATATTCTCCTGAGTTAAGTCTGGTCAAAATACACACTTTTCCTACACTGCTCAGTAAATGAAAAATGGTTCATGAGAGAATGGGAATTAGCAAGATTGATCATTTTGAACTTAGTAATTAAACATCTTGCCAAGAAATCTCAAGCTCATTTCTAAGTAGTGCAGATTTGCTACCCAGTGGTTGGTTACACTGTCACTTCTGATGTTGTGAAAACTTCTTGGTTTTTCAACATCATGGTCCCAGAAGCTTTCCTCTTGATGAGTAGTAATAAGCTGAACAGTTCTTTTTTATGGATTTTTTAATTACATAACATATTGCTGGAATTTGTAAAATCAGTGTGAACACATTTTTATATGCTAACAACAAAATTATTGAAATGCAAAACCAGTGCATACATGCTTTCTGCATAAACTGTTACACACAGTAATCAAATGTTTTGTTCTTATATTGAAGCCTTGGTGGGAATCGGCCGGTGTGATAATAATAAATAATTGAAGCACTTAATTGAATGAAGTGCAACTTTTAGCAAATGTTTTATTATAAGACTTGTTTTTCAGTAAGGAAGATAATTTGTATGCAAATAACTAACAGTACCTCTGTTTGCACTGAAAAACAGTTTAGTGTCTTATTAATGCGCACGAGAACCTACAGAGCAAAATATTGCCACTATTTGCTGTGTTATACAATATTGTGCCTTTGTGTGTGTATGGGGGTGGGGGCAGTAGTCACTCACATAACAAGTTGTGATGACTATTTGCAGTCTTATACAGTATCATTATGTTATTATATATAGTTATTTTTTCTTTTTACTTTGTTGATAGTTTCCTACCATGGTAGGATGACCAAAAGAAACACACATTCACTTTCACTCAGTTATGTCCTGTTAGAAGTGTACAGAAATTACAGTTAAAATAACCTTTGAACTGCAGCATCCTCACTTATTCTTCAGAGTTCAGCCACTAATGTACTGTTGATATAATATATCAGATTTACAATACACTCTCATCAGTAATTATTTTCTGAAAAATGTCATATGAAATTTGAAGCAAACGACAATTGCAAGAAAATATTTAAAAACTCTGAAAGGGTATGGACAGTATTATTCAAGTAGGTTTATATCCTTTTCACTAAGTATTGATTTAATTTTCTTGAGTTTTCTTTTTCATCCTTGAGAAAAAAATCAGATCTTTGCAGCAGTCTCTCCCTTGAAGTATTATATAGGATTCAAATATTAAGCTATTGCTTGATTAAATCCTGTGAAACCTTAGAATTTTTATTTTGAAAAGGTTTGGAAGCATGATGCTCTTTGCTTTGCTGTGATACAATATCTGATCTGTATTGGCTACACAAACCGACCACAGCAGTTAGTTTACTACCCCCACAATTGGCATACTAGTTGTGATGAAGTGTTCTCTCAGTACACAATTTAACACAAGGGTCATACCCCAAAATATAGGACTCATTGGTTAGAGAATATAGCTTCTCCTCACTTAGCAACGTACTTGTTTACCAACGACTCGGACTTACGGTGGGCTCTCTGACCAGTATGCATACCAAATAATGTATATTGGAGCTGATTTTCTCTATTCTGTTTATTACAATATACAGTACACTGCTGTATAAACATTTACAAATATACCAGATATGTTATAAATGGTGCAAAGGTAACATTAAAACATTATCAAAGATGATTGACACAAACCCACTACCATTATAGTATGCTCCTCACTTAGCGACGAATTTGTTTATCGACCAGGTCTTAGGAACGGAACTCCGTTGTTAAGTGAGGAGAGGCTGTACATATATTTATTTTGCTCCATGGGAAAGTAGAACAGAATTCTTTCTCCATAAACAATGCATGTCATAAGAGGTGACTAAAATTCTGGGAGCAAGGGACTAGTAATCCCTTCTCTTATATATACAGTGGACCCCCGCTTAACGATCACCTCCAAATGCGACCAATTATGTAAGTGTATTTATGTAAGTGCGTTTGTACGTGTATGTTTGGGGGTCTGAAATGGACTAATCTACTTCACAAAATTCCTTATGGGAAAAAATTCGGTCAGTACTGGCACCTGAACATACTACTGGAATGAAAAAAGTTCGTTAACCGGGGGTCCACTGTATTACTAAAGTTAAAAGAGAAACTTTTTTTTTTTTTTTTTTTTTTTTTTTTTTGTTGGGCGCCCAGCTTTGGTAGGATACGGCTGGCGCATTGAAAAAAAGAAAGAAAAATTTATTTCCAGGGGCTAGTAACCCCTTCTACTTCTACTGTATAAATTACGAAATGTAAAATGAAGTAAAAACTTCGACACCATTCCTTCTTTTTTGGGTTACTCTGCCTTGGTGGAAGACAGTCAGTGTGTTAAAAAAAAAGTATTTAATAAAATGATAGTTACAAAGATGATCAGTGGTGCTGCAGCCTTAACACATTAAAGTTAAAAAACTGCACTTGTAGAGTTAAGCTCCCTACACTAGATGCCTAACATTGCCGAGGTGCAAGGACAAATATAGACATAGATGTTCTTGGAAGTACAGTACACAAGCTATACAGAACTCACAATAGAGGACATTTTCTTTC